TTTTTTTTAAATTTTTTATTTTTCAGTTCTGAGGAAGGGTCACTGGATCTGAAACGTTAACTCTGTTTTTTCCTTCATAGATGCTGCCAGACCTGCTGGGCTTTTCCAGCAACTTTGTTTTTGTTCCTTTTTTTTATTCATTTGATCATTAGATACAAGGATCATTAGCCAGGCCAGCGTTTATTGCTTATCTTGAATTGCCCTTTAGAAGTTGGCAGTGAGCCATTCTCTGGAACCGTAACAGCCTGTATGAAGTAGGGACACTCACAGTGCTGTTAGGAAGGGAGTACCAGGAATCTGACCCAGTGATAGTAAGGGAACAGTGATATGATTCCCAGTCAAGATATTCTGTGGCTTGCAGGGAAACTTGCAGACAGTGCTTTTCCCATGCCTACTGCCCTTATCCTTCCAGTTGGAAGACATTGTCAGATTGGAAGGTGTTATTGAAAGAACATTAATGAAGATCACTGCTACCACCGTGTGTTGATGGGGAGGGAGTCAATGTTGAAGATGGTGGATTAGGTGCTAATTGTGAAGTCTGTTTTGTCCTGGATGATGTTGAGCTTCTTGAACACTGTTGAAGCTGCACTCATCCAGGCAAATGGAGAGGATTCCATCCCACTCCTGACCTATGCCTGACAGATGATGGACAGATTTTTCAGAGTCAGGAGTAGAGCTATTTACTGCATAAGTCCCAACCTCCTACCTGCTCTTGTAATAACAGTATTAATACAGCAGGTCTAGTCATTTTCTGATCAATGATAACCCAACAATGTTAGTAGTTGAGGATTCAGCAATAATAATGCCATGAATGTCAAAGGTCAGATAATTTGGCATCAGTTGTTTCAGAGATAGTTTGTCTTATAAAGCTCCTGTAAAACAGCTTTTGATTTTTTATTACATTAAAGTTGCTGGACGAGAGCATCCAACTAATTTTAATCTTAACACCATGCATACATATCTGGGCAGCTACTAAACCACAGCTATAAGAGACAACACTGTGGACATGGAGCAACACAGCAGGCCAGGCAGCATCAGAGGAGCAGGAAAGCTGACATTTTGGGTTGGCACCCTTCTTCAGAAATGTGGAGAGGGAAGGGAGCTCAGAAATAAATAGAGAGAGGAGGGATGGGGCTGGGGTAGGTAGGTGGGATCGTGATAGTTGAGTACAGGTAGGAAGTGGTGGGGATTGGTCAGTGAGATGGGAGGGGCGGATAGGTGGGGAGAGAAGATGGATAGGTTGTGTCAGGTCAAGGAGGCAGGGATGAGAGGGAGGCTTGGACATGGGATGAGGCCGGGGGTGGGGAGATTTTAAAACTGGTGAAATCCATGTTTAGGCCATTGGGCTGTAGGCTCCAGAGGTGGAATATGAGGTGTTGCTCCTTCAGTGTGCGGTTGACTGAGAGCCTCCCTCTTATCCCTGTCCATCTTCTGACCCACCTATTCGCCCCTCTCTTTCCACTGACCAATCCCCACCACTCACCTATCACCATCCCACCTACCTTCCCCAGCCCCACCCTTCCTCTCTCTATTTATTCCTGAGCTCCCTTCCTCCTCTCCATTTCTGAAGAAGGGTCCTGACCCGAAACATCAACTTACCCGCTCCTCTGATGCTGCCTGGCCTGCCATGTTTCTCCAGCTCCACACTGTGTTATCTCTGACTCCAGCATCTGCAGTTCTTGCTATCTCTACTAAACCACAGCCTTTTGGTTTTGAATTTGTATATATAAAGTTTCAGTGGGTATCAAAGTAAATTTGTTATTTCCTTCATTTTGACAGCAGTTATTATATGGAAAATGTTTTGAATTGTCTACCAGCTAAGCTTATATTATACTTGTGAAAGTTTTCTGTTTGACAAGGATCCGATAATTTGCTCAGATAACAATGTAAAGTGTGAGAAGGTTGTAATATCCTCTACCTTTGAGATTAGAGCTAGCTACTATTATGAGAAGACATGGAGAAAGTGAGGTCCATGTAGTCATTGGTTTTATTTGTTTTGGGTACTTGGGTGCTTTTAATGTCAGCAGTGATTCTCACAGAAAATGTAATAATTACTGATCTCTATTGTGGAAGGATCAGTAACTTTTGACAACAGATTTCTTTGGGTTTGTTGTTGACTATTAAGAAGTTCCTTGAACTAGGACAACAATAATTGGTGTTCCATTGGGAAACTTTCTGATCAGTTCGGAATAAAAAAATGCCTGAATTTAGACTCTCTTAAAAAAATTTAATTGCTATTGGTCAACCCTGAAGGAAAAACACTGCAGATTTCTAGAATTTTAAAGCTATGAGTCTTTCTTCACCAGAGACAAAGCTCTTTATTTACTATAATTTGAATTCAATTTTAGTTTCCATTACAGTATGATGTTGTAACATAAACAGTCTTGTCATAGGGTGTTCTAATTATAATGCTCACGTGAAATATTTCCAATGCCCAGTCACTGGAGAATAATGAAACTTATGAGATTTTGTTTACAGTTTAACCCCCATCTCAATGCCTGTTGCTGTTTTACGTATAAACCTGCTTTTTCATGAAACCAAGATAGTGTTCAGTAATTGTCTCAGATACAAAGTTAATTTGAAGGTGTTTTTATATAGGGTGAAACTGTTTTTCATTTATTTTCTCTGTGACCTCCTTAGCCAAAGCTGGAATATCCAGCATTTGTTATAATTAGGGACCATTTAGAAATTGAAAAACATTTAGGTTTTCAGCATTTATAGGTAGGATATGAAGTGTCCTATTGTCTGTGTGAACTTGCTGCAATATTTTCCATGGTAAATTCTAATAGACATGCATAGAAAAGAACCTGCCAATGTAAACTTGTCCCAATGAAATTATATTGCTAGAAGCCAACCGTTTTAAATTTCCCAACTCCTCTGGACGTACTGTGAAAAGTTACAATGCTTCAACCAACACTTCTACTAAATCATTTTAGTGCTCTGTTAAACAGAATATCATCAGAAGTGTTGACCAAATTTTAATGTAGTGGATGAATTACATGTGTGCACAATGTTTCAATTATCCCTGCCTGACCTCTAGCTCTGCTTCAGTTAAAGAATACTCTTGTTCAACTTCTGCATGCAAGGCACAGAAGATTGACCAGTGAAGCAATGCAAGTGGAAATGATAGGACAGAAAAGCATTTATATTGATGCTTCTCTCTTGCTGAGAAATAGTTTCCGCTTTACATTCTGCCAAAATGACAGTTTAATTCTGGAGTTAGGTCCTCCCCTGACTGGTGACTAATTCAGATCCACTGATCTGAGGCCGTCTGACTACGTGGACATGAAACCCCATCAAGTGTTACTCTTGCATAATGTTACACCTGTTTTGAAAAGTGACAAAAAGATTCTTTTGTAAAGCAAAGTCACAAATGTTTAAAAAGTATTTTGTGCAAGTGAGCATTTCTGCCTGTCAAAGCATTCCAAAGTTACTATGTTGGATGTGTTTTGCGCAGCTCATTGTATTGCACATCCCACAGTATAAATTCAGCTCTTCTGAACACAATTCATCATGTGCTCTCTCTGATCTCAGACACAGAATTTGTTCTAACATGGCATTCTCCAGCATACCCCATTGTTAGTCTTTTTTCTGTTCCTCTCTCCCCAAATTGTATTCAGCAAATTATGACAAATACAAGTAAATAACTACATGGCAAGATCAATCTTGGACCTTAGTGAGCAAAAGGGATCAAAGGCATATTTCATTAAATAATGAAACTGAAGGACAGAGAAACAGTAGAACAAAGAAGATAATAGATTGCATTAGAATCAAATTTAAAAAGAACAACAAATAGAGAGAAAGTTTGGATTAAAAGAAATGTTAAATATAAAAAAAAGTTATTTTGAATTTTGAATTTTTAATTCTAAAAATCTTCAAAGAACGATATTATTGACAGGAAGAGATCACTGAGTTTCAGTTTCTTCCCTTCTCTGCCAGAGAGGAGTGGGATGGTATTTCAGGAACATAAATACCATAAAAAGGGCCTTTATGTCATTAGGAACCAGCCCTAAATTTGTATGGCAATGTTGCTTTCATTTTAAGAGCACCCATGCAGCAATTTCTTGAAAACTAATGGGGAGGTTGACAGCAGACGCCTATTTTCATGTGACTAATGGCAGAACAGTGCAAATCTTTCAGCAATTTGCGGTGATTCACATCTCACAAGGTGTCTTTTCCTTACTACTAATTGCTGAGTTATTTACACACTAATAACAGTGTGTACATTAAATTTACAGTTATTTTCCCACCAGGTTCTGGGCCAATGTTTCCACTGCTGGATTTAAAAGCAGGTTTAATTGGTTTGTTTGTTCCTGTAATGGTAATCATGCAAAAGGTCAAAATGATATCTTCAATCAATGTTGAATTGAATTCTACATTTGAAAATTACCCTCTATTTATGAATTGTTACTTTCCTCCCAGCTCACTAATTTGGAAAACAACAACAGCTGTGCTATCATGATTTTATCTATTCAATGTTTATCATGTTTATTATACATTATGGATAAAGGTTATTTGTTTAAAAAAATGTCTGTTTAGTAAAACATAATTATGATCCAACTCAAGGAGGAGGAAGTCTTAAAATTTGCCTCTATTGCTTTGTGTATTTTCCAGCCCATTTTGTTTATGGTACTTGATGAGGCAAACTTATGATCATTCTCATTGTATCAGTCACAAATAGTTTACCTACACATCCCTATTATAGTTGGCATCTGAGATGTATTTGGTTTTTACATTGAGGGATGTCTTATGACTTATCTGTCAACACGGGAGCCATGAACATTGTGATGCTAACATTAAATATAGCACGGATTCTTGTAGTAGGGGACAATTTAGAAGCTGATATTTGCGATGCGTGCACTATAATAGTAATAGGATTAGTCAGACTCTGTTAAGGGCCTGAGAATGACAGAAAGAAAAGATAAAAGGCTAAGGTTCGCCTGAGATTATATCATTGCCGATTCTATTCATCTGCTCACTTGCTGCATGTTTCCAACCGTTCAATTTTCATCCTCCTCTCCATCACTGATGCTACTGATGGAGGCAGAAGCAACTTTCGGGGAAGATGGGGGTGAAGTTTTGGTAAATGGCCACTGGAATGTTGGGGACTGGGACCGTTCTCTTGTTGGACTACTTGACGGACTTTGTCTTGGAGACAGAGCTTGCAGCATCCGACCACCTCTCTCCTGGAAAACTTGTTTCTGGAAACAATGGAAACAAACAAAATGAGTAAACCTTCAAGCATTCCATGAGCAAGCATACCAAGTTTACCTGGATTTCATAAAATATGAATGAAAAATTCACTTTGATCTAATGAATAGTGAAGTGGTCCAATAGAGATCTTAAGCTAAATGTGTGGAAATCATCGGACACTACCAAATCTCCTGGACAAGGAACTATGGGAAGCGCCAACACCCCACAGTAAATGCCTTGATAATGAGCCCAACTTGTTACACCAATTAGAGTTAGAATTAGAATTAGCTTTATTGTCACATGTACTCACATGAATATAGTGAAAAGTTTACAAGTTGGCAACTAGGTACGGATTCTTAAGCACAAATTCTTAGGGAAAAAGAAACAAAAGAAATTAGAAAAATAAAAAGTCCAACAATAAATCAGAAAAATAGAGAAATAAGAGTTCAGAATAACATACAACAAGAAGTATGATTGCAAATTCTAAAGAATGCAGCTAACTAAACCAGGTTCAAAGCTTAGGCCAACCTTTTTTTTGTAAACAATGCCTGTTCTTTTGTTAAATGATTGCCTTTGTAAAGTTCTGGATGAATCAGCTGTTTCATGGTGTTGAATCTTACTTTTTTCTAGCAAGCATCAGTTGGGTCAAGTTTCCCAATACGCTTTCTCACTGTGTTCAACTCTCTAACTACCTATCTCACCCCTCTGGTCCAATTCTAGCCCCATTAAACCACTCACTGTACCCAGAATAATTTGCCACTGCCTGGATATTTTGAAATAGTCTGCTGTCCCTGGAACCTGTGCCACCTTTGAAGGGCATTGTGTACCCAGATAAGGACTGTTAGGCAGCTACTCTGCCTGGTTCCTGATATTTGCCCTGGACCTGGTAGAGAAGTCAGAATTGGCACCTACTTTGCAGCCAGGGGCCCGGAGGTACTGCTGGATGGGATGTTGCAGAGGTGGATGCTCTCTTCTCTCAAGACCAGCAGAGGTGACTACAACACCAGACTGGATCAGCTTTGACCAAGATTGCCACTGCATCAGTACAGTCTCTACAGTCTGGACAATTGTCCAGCAGTACAGGAAAAAGATCTGAGACCTTCTCTCTGCAGCTATATGTGACATCTTCTCTCCAATACCTCACACACAGACTATCTCTGCTGCAGTACCCACCTCCCACAAAGGCTCATGCTCTACCACTCTATTGGCTGCAATATCTCTCATTTGCTGTCACCTTCCAACCCTCAACATCACAAACCCTGCATGCCCTTTGGGCTACCTCCTCTCTTGCAACCCACTTTCATCTTCCTTAATATTGCCTTTTGCTCCTCTCAGGAGGAAAACAACCCACAATAGGGCATAAAGAGTCAAGATGGGTGGTGGGCTACTGACCTTCATCTCCTCACTCCTCACAAGCAGAGAATCTTGACCTTGACTGCCTCAAGTGGCTGACTGACTGTGTTCAAGTTCCTGGACAGACATCGCTGCTACCCTTATTGCTCTCGGACCTCTGACCTCCATGACTATATTGAGCACTGCTGATAATTGGCTTTGCGTCTGCACTATATGACAAAGCAAACAGCAACACTCTGGCTGAGGAGCAAAGCACAAAACAGCAAGACCTGAGACACAGCATTGAACTGCAGAAATGTCTCATGAATCAGAGATATGCCATCAATGTTCTTCACTGGAACATGTCAGATGGCAATGCCAATGGATGTGGAGTGTGTGTGTGTAGCCTGTTCCCATATCCTGAGAACTTCGTGCCTGCTGTCCAACAAGGAGGTCCTTTGGACCAAACAGTGAGCTGAAGTCGCCAGGTACCCTCTGATTTTTATGTTGCCATCCAGTTTGCTCGTGGTGGTGGCATGATAGAAGGCTGCATATTAATGAGGTGATATAGAATCCCCACAGTGTGGAAGCATGCTGTTTGGTCCACCAGGGTCCAATCCAACCCTCCACACAGCATCCCACCCAGACCCACACCCCGACCCCTTCCCTGTGACTCTACATTTCCTATGGCTAATCCACCTAGCCGACACATCCCTGGACACTATGGGCAATTTAGCATGGCCAATCCACCTGACCTGCACATCTCGGGACTGTGGGAGGAAACAAAACACCAGGAGGAAACCCATGCAGACAGGGGGAGAATGTTCAAACTCCACGTTGGCCTGAGGTTGGAATCAAACCGAGGTACCTGGCACTGTGAAGCAGCAGTGCCAACCACTGAGCCACCATGCTGCAGTTAAAAAGGTCATTAACAATCAATAATCCCTCTTAATAGGCAATTTACTACTGCCTGATGCGAATTTTACCTTGACAACCTGAAAGTGGGAACAATTCACGACATTTCATAACCAATATCAGGATAGGGCTTGCTGGACTTCAGGCTGATTCAGCCATACATCATGCCATAGCCCACATGGGTCAGGCCCCTGCTGATGGCAATTTTTCAAATCAAATTTCATCAGCATCTATTTGGATAGGTACACTTGACAACAGGTTATAAATGGTGCATTTGTATTTTTCATTTTAAGATACATTTTTATCTTAACTTGTTATGTGCTAATTTGTCTCCCTTCACTGCTTCCTGAAGCCATTGACCAGTTCCTCAGGTGGAGGATCATCATTAATTCATGCCTAAGTTTTAAATAGACACTTCCAGTGGGTTATTTGCCAACATCTCAGCCAACTCTCACCTTGTCCTGATGCACCATGGTTACACACCATCAGCATACGCATTTAGAACAGGCAAAGCTAGATAGTGATCAGGAATGGGAACAAACCCTGGCCAATTCTCCCCTAACTAAACATAGAATGTCAAAGCCAGCTGTAATAGTTGAAATGCCACTTTCGCGCACGGCCATTATTTCAATATCAATTGGACATTGAATACGGAATGTTTCTGGTCTCTCTAAGACTCTGCGATTTTGGTTGAATATTTGGTCGAGGTTCCTTACTCTCACTGTGGTCCAAATCACCACCTCCATCTATCCCAAGGTAGAATGACAAACACATAGCCAGGATAGTGCCTTTTCTGCTTTCTAGTTGAAGGTAGAAAGCAATTCTTTAACAATCAATGCAGCTAACATAGAAACATAGAAGAAAACTGCTGGAGTAGGCCATTCGGCCCTTTGAACCTGCACCACCATTCAATATGATCATGGCTGATTATGCAGTGTCAGTATCCCATTTCTGCTTTCTCCACCTTGATCCCTTTAGCTGCAAGGGCCATGTCCAGCTCCTTCTTGAATATATCTAATGAACTGGCCCCAACACCTTTCTGTGGGAGAGAATTCCACAGGTTCACAACTCTCTGAGTGAAGAAATTCTTACTCATCTCAGTCCTGAATGGCTTACCCCTTAATCTTAGACTGTGACCCCTGGTTCTGGACTTCCCTAACATTGGGAACATTCTTCATGCATCTAGACTGTTTCTATGAGATTCCCCTTCATTATTCTAAATTCCAGCGAGCACAGGCCCAGTCGATCCGGTGGTTCTTCATATCTCTGTCCTGCCATCCCGGGAATCAGTCTGGTGAAGGTTCACTGGGCTCCCTCAATAGCAAAAATGTCCTTCCTCAGACTAGCAAACCAGATTTGCACACAACATTCAAGGTGTGGCCTCACCAAGGTCCCGTATAACTGCAGCAAGACATCCTTACTCTGATACTCAAATCCTCTCGCTATGAAGGCCAGCATGCCGTTAGCTTTCCTCACTGCCTGCTGCACCTGCATCCCAACCTTCCACGAATCTTCCACCATGACACTCAGATCTCGTTGCACCCCACCTTTTCCAAAACTGCCACCATTCAGGTAGTAATCTGCCTTTCTGTTTTAGCAACCAAAGTGGACAACCTCACATTTATCCACATTATATTGCATTTGCTGAGTATTTGCTCACTCAACCAGTCTGTCCAAGTCACCCTGCAGCTTCTCAGCATCCTCCTCACAGCACACACTGCCACCCAGCTCAGTATCATCTACAAATGTGAAGATATTGTATTCAACTCCTTTGTACAACTCATTAATATATATTGTGAACAGCTGAAGCCCCAGCACTGAACCCTGTGGCACCCAACTTGTCACTGCCTGCCACTCTGAAAAGGACTTGTTTATTCCAACTCTCTGCTTCCTGTCTGCTAACCAGTTCTCTATCCATGTCTATACATTACCTCTGATACCATGAGCTTTAATTTTGCTTCCTAATCTCTTGTGTGGAACCTTGTCAAAAGCCTTCTGAAAGTCCAGATACACAACATCTACTGATTCACCTTTGTCTACTCTACTGATCACATCCGCAAAAAATTCCAGAAGATTTGTCAAGCATGATTTCCCTTTAGTGAATCCATGCTGACTAGGACTGACTCTGTCACTGCTTTCCAAATGCTCAGTTATTACATCCTTAATAAGTTTTGCTATGTTTCACTGTATGACACTCTCCAAGACGCTTTGATTTCTGTCCTGTGAAACACGGGACTGCAAGTTTGGTTTTTAATAGCACCTATTTATTTAAAATAATTTTCACTCCTTTGCTTCGCAGCAAGCCTGTGATATGATAGCAAGTCTTGTGTGGGAATTATTCAGAACTTATTTCAAAACCGGAGCTGAAAGAAATTTAGCAATGAGGCTAAGCAATGCCGACTGTTTAGCATTGACAGATAAACAAGAACTTTGCTAGCGGTATTACCACACAACATTTAGTGACAACTGACCAGAAAGACTTTTATCTTGACCACGTGCTTCAGAAACATGGCGCGCCACAGCTCCTGTCACCAGCAGAATAAACGAGAGAAGTTCCACAACTCTGACAAAGTCTAAAATCTAATATTGTTCAAAAACCTGTAGAGAATGCAACCCCTCTATCCTAGAATATGTGTAGTATGATGATTAGCTGTCACACATGTTTACTGATATTCTGTTCTCTTTGCAGCTGTTTGTGTTAACTTAAGAATGTCTTGAGAAACCAGTGTTGATTAACAGGAACCACAAAGAATTCAATTCTGTCCAAGAACTGTAGCTATAATGAACTTTTCTAATACCATATTAATAACAGGCAATTGACACACCACTAGAACCTTTCCACTAACTTCTTGGAAATTAATTTGAGATACACACCCAAGTTCCATCTGGACCAAACAGCTCTAAAAAGTTTCCAATAAATTCTCGTGATTTCTCTTCCCACTTTTGTATAAGATCATGGCTTTTTTCCTCCACTTTGTAAACAAATTCTTTTGATTTTTCTTCTACATTCTTTACTTTTTCTTTCATTTTGTCAACATGATTTTGGAAGCGATACTTCTTTTCCTGAAAAAGAATGAAACGTTTAGTTCAGTGACTGAAAGCAAAATCTCTGAAAATGAAGTACATTGCAATCTAATTCTATTCCATTTCAAAACTACCTTCGTCCACTCTCAAGTTCTCTGCCTGCCTCCCTTCATAGTCCCATAAATAGATCCTCATCAAAAAGGTAGATAACCTGTTTCTGGCCTTTTCCAATGCTGGAATAAGCTAGTCACAAGGTGGAATAAGAAAGCAGTGTCATGTCAATTTTCAGCTCTCTACATCCTTCCAAGAACTGTTTGTTTTGCTCATTTGAAATGCAGAACACACTGTGAGGAGCTGAGCCATCTATCAGATCACCTAAATAGGACACCAGCAAAAGTTGGTTAACGGTTCTGAGAAAAAGTGCAACAGTCCAAAAAACTGACAGATAATAATAGCCCAAAAGGTAGGCCTTATGTCGTATGAAAAGGAGGTGTCAAATATTGGGTACCAGATTTTCATCATGTATAAAAATGGCCTGGAGAAAATAATCAAAGGCTGTATTTCTTCCCAAGTTGGTAAGATTCAATTAGGAGATCCAGTTATGAATATGGCAGCAAGAAATTCTAAAGGGACACATGCAGGCTCAGCAAGCTGCTGACGTTTAGTCCTACCTTGCAAATTATTTCGGATTCAGTGGTGCATTACAGCTGAAGTAAACAGAAGTGTACTTTGCAGAGTGGTAACTTTAGATCTCAGATCTCACCAAAGGGAAATGTGAGTGCTGAGAGTGTGAGGGAACCTGGGATCCTCCTGAGATCATTTTGCTGCATTTTTGTTTTTGCCATTTGAATTTACTGTATTTCTGTCTTCCAAACCAACTACAATTTATCTCAGAAGAGTTACCGATATGTAAAATTTGGCAAAGCAGATCATTTTTGGGAGATCAAAACCTGATGTACAAATGTGTAAATCTGATATACCTTTACCAAAGTAAAATATCTCAAGGCCCTTCATAAAAACATCACACAACAAAAGTAGACATTGAGCCATATAAACAGTTATCCTGCTAGGCAACCAAAAATCTTAAACCCAAGAAACAGGTTTGAAGGAATATCTTAAAAGCATACAAGAAAATAGAGGGGGAGAGAACTTTAGAAAAGGAATTCCAGAGTTCTGGGTCTTGGCAACTTTTCTTTCATTCATTTGTGGGATGTGGGCATAGCTGGCTGACCAGCATTTATTACATGTCCCTAGTCGCCCTTGAGAAGGTGGTGGTGAGCTGCCTTCTTGAGCTGCAATCCACGCGCTGTGGGTTGACCCACAATGCCATTAGGGAGGGAATTCCAGGATTTTGACCCAGCAACTTTGAAGGAATGGCAATATATTTCCAAGTCAAGATGGTGAGTGCCTTGGAGGGTAACTTGAAGGTGGTGATGTTCCCATATATCTGCAGCCCTTATCCTTCTAGATGGAAGTGGTTTTAGGTTTGGAAGGTGTTGTCTGCAGTGCATCTTGTAACTAGTACACACTGCTGCTACTGAGTGGTGGAGGGAGTGGGTGTTTGTGGATGTGGTGCCAATCAAGTGAGCTGCTTTGTCTTGGATGGTGTCAAGTTTCTTGAGTGTTCTTGGAGCTGCACTCATCCAGGCAAGTGGGGAGTATTCCATCGCATTCCTAACTTGTGCCTTGTAGATGGTGGACCGGCTATGGGGAGTCAGGAGGTGAGGTACTCATTGCAGTATTCTTATATTCTGACCTGCTCTTGTAGCCATGTGTTCTGGGGCGATTCCATTTGCGTTTCTGGTAAATGTTGATAGTTGGGATAGTAACACCAATGAATGTCAAAGGGTGATGGTCATAGCCTGTAATTTGTATGGCGTGATTGATACTTGCCACTTGTAGACCTGGATATTGCCCAGATCTTATTGCATTTGAACATGGACTGCTGCAGTCTCTGAAGAATCACGAATAGTGCTGAATATTGTGCAACTTTCGGTGAACATCCCTACTTCTGACCCTATGATGGAGGCAAGGTCATTGATGAAGCAGCTGAAGATGGTTGGCCTGGAATACTACCCTGAGGAACTCCTGCAGAGATCTCCTGGAGCTGACTGACCTCCAACAACCATGACCCATCTTCCTATCTGCCAGGTATGGCTCCAACTAGCAGAGGGTTTGCTCCTGATACCCATTGATTCCAGTTTTGCTAGGGTTCCTTGATGCCACACTCGGTCGAATGCAGCCTTGATATCAAGGGCTGTCACTCTCACCTTACCTCTGGAATTCAGCTCTTTTGTCCATGCTTAAACTAAGGCTGTAATGAGGTCAGGGGCTGGGTGGCCCTGGCGGAACCCAAACTGGGCGTCACTGAGTAGGTTATTTCTGAGCAGGAGCTGCTCGATAGCACTGTTGATGGTACTTTCAATCATTTTACTGATGATCAGGAGTTGGGGCTGTAATTGGCCAGGTTGGATTTGTTCTGTTTTTTATGTTCAGGACATACTTGGGCAATTTTCCACATTGTCAACTGGATGCCAGTGTTGTAACTGTACTGGAAGATCTTGGTTCATGGAGCAGCAAGTTCTAGAGCACAAGTCTTCAGTACTATTGCCGGAATGTTGTCAGGTCCTGTAGCCTTTGCAGTATCCAGTGTCTCCAACCGTTTCTTTATATCATGTGGAGTGAATCGAATTGGCTGAAGACTAGTATCTGTAATGCTGGGGGCCACTGCAGGAGGCCAAGATGGATCATCTACTCGACCTTTGGCTGAAGATTGCGAATGCTTCAGCCTTATCTTTTGCACAGATATGTTGGGCTCTTCCATCATTGAGGATGGGAATATTTGTGAAGCCTCCTCCTCCAGTGAGTTGTTTAATTGTTCACCACCATTCACAACTGCATGTTACAGGACTGCAGAGCTTAGATCTGATCCGTTGGTTGTGGGATCGCTTAGCTCTGTCTATCACTTGCTGCTCTCGCTGTTCGGCAAGTAGCCCTGTTTGGTGGCTTCACCAGGTTGACACCTCATCTTCAAGTATGCCTGGTGCTGCTCCTGGCATGCCTTCCTGCACTCTCCATTAACCAATGGTTGATCCCCTGGCTTGATGGTAATGTTTGAGTGGGGAATTAACTGGGCCAGTGAGGTCGTGGCTTGTGCTGGAGTACAATTTTTCTGATAATAGCCAACAGCACCTCATGGATGCCCTATATTAAGAATGAAGATGGTGTGGACAACTTTGTTAAAGTCTGCAAATAGATTGAGAGGGGTGACAAAGAATAATTTCCTTCAAGTCAGAGTCACACAAGATGGTATTTGGGACTTTAAATCCTTAGATACGTCTCATTAATATTTGAGCGGAGATCTTTTCCAAGGCAAGTCTACAATGGTCTCAATCAGCGGTGGAGTCTGCATGCACAAGACAAACTCAACTCACTATCATATTTGTAATTCTCTCTAACTCCGAGGGATCCTGAGGCATACATAGGATTAGAGGAATTCATTTAGCAGATGCCTATATTTTAGACATTTTTTCATCACTTTTTCATTCGCTTGACATTATATCATCACAAACAGGTTTAATATCCAGAGTTTACAACATAGGAGGACACAGCAATAGAATTTTAAATATGGATATCTTAGTGTTGTTCTTTAAGTCAAGTAAAGTTCATTACTATTCCAACACTGCTGTCTCAATTCTGCATAATTCAACGTAACCAGTTGATGTTTTCACATTAGGAATGATATCCTTGCCTCATAAATACTTTGCTAACTAATTTTGAAGATAATGAACTGTGACAACTTTGGGCCTGTTTATTACGGGAAGGTTTATTTCAGGAAATTAAATCTAGCAACTCACTGACATGTAACTTTTGTAATTCTCAGAAACCATTAGCACGTCCGAAAATATTTGATTCAAGTCAACGTGCAGATAACAAAAACAGTGATTTTTTTGCTTCCTTGCTTATAGAGGTGATTGAATCTGCCACTTGACCAGATTGGTTACTTCAGTGTCAGTGAGGAAAACAGATCTTTCTTGTAAAATACCATCAGATCAGTTTGGACTACTGTCCATGGGCATGCTTGGGTGGTCCATTAGCTCAGTTGGCTGAACGCTTGGTTTGTGATGCAGAGGGATGCCAATAGGATGGGTTCAATTCTGGCACTGGCTGAGGTTACTGTGAAAGACTCTCCATCTCAACATTTCCCTTTGCTTGAGCTGCGGTGACCCTCAGGTTAAACCACCACCAGTCACCTCTCACTAATGAGACAAAAGCCCTATGATTATCTGGGAATATGGTGTCATTACCTATGAAGCCCACAATACACAATGAGTGAACAAGAAAATTAATTATGAAATTAGAAATTTCCTGCAATAACAGAGAATGTGAGCAACAGAAAGTTCTCCCAAAGTGGCTACAGTGGAGATAAAGCTTCACTTTAAACTGCTCGCAGTGTGTGAGCATTTTGCTTCTGAATACCAGAGTGGTAAATCATAGCTGCTGAGAATTTGAATGTGTCTGTGTGTTGCAACCATGTTTGTTTCTTCTTCGTTGGATGGGCATCTGGGAAAAAGCAACTCAAGGGTTAGAGGAAGAAAAATAAAAACGGGTCAGTCCTTGGAATTGTATTGACATTTAACCACATAAAGAAATCAGTGACTCAGACTCCACTGAGAATAGGAAATGTGTTAGCAATACTGCCAAAAAGAACAGGGAGAAATCAAACTAAACAACAAGCTGTTGGAATAAAAATACAGTCTGCTAATCAACATGAATTAAATAAATAGTACAATTCAACAACACCAAGCTTAATTTATTCTTTTCATACTACTGGCATGAAAGTTATGCCGAGTCTACGTCAGTAGGGCAGCTTTTGTTATTGTTAATAGGGACTTTCTTTCCCAGCAGACCAGAATCTTTGCTGCAGAGAAATGTGCATTGTAAGCAATCTTTTCAAGTCTGAACTAGGCAAAGCTAGCATTTAGTTTGGACACTGTACAATAACAAGGAAAGTCCAGACCATAACAGGAGACTCACATTTATGAAACTAACGTTAAGCTCTTTGGCTGTGTACCCTCTTTGAAGATTACGTCGGGCATAAACATCGTAATCTCGTACAATTCTGGTAATAAGGTCAGATGTAGAGATGCCCTCTGTTCTTTGAGTCGGGACAAACATGCCTAAAAGTTAAAAAAAATTGCACTAGGTCACTTAAACTGACTATTTAAAATCATTATGTATTAGCTGTATTATGTAAAATGCTCCATTACAATAGTGATTGTACTTCAAAAGTAGATGATTGACTGTAAGGAACATTAGGATGTTCTCAGAAAATGAAAAGTGTTATATAAATACAAATCTTCTTTGAAATAGCAATTCTTTTTCTCTGGAAACTGGGTGATAATGTAGTGCCAATGAAGTGTGTGAACATTTTACTTCACAATTTTGAGACTGTCAAGTCAGTTTCAGTTCTGGTGGTATAAGAAGTTGAACTTGGCAGCTTTTACCTCAAATGTAAAATCTGTCTATGTTGCCTTAGGGTAGGTTTGCTCACCCAAGAAAAACACTCAAGAGCTTTGGCTTTTTATAGAGTGCCAGCTGCTGGTTGAAAACAAGGCTGCACTGACAGATCAGTCAAAGGTTTAAACCACTTGGCCAGTTTTGTGAAAAAAAATTGTACCCAGGAATATTTAGGGAAGCAATGTAACTCAAAAAGTGCATCGTTGTAAAAATGGACAGTTATATCGTGTGTGCAATTTGCTTCCTCCCTGTTTGAATTTCTCCAGTGAGGTTCCTCTATAGCACCATCCCAGCCCCAATGAAAATCAGAAACAGCATTCTCTATTACTATGACTGTGGTTCAAGGACTCTCCTTTTACTCCTTTCCTTCTGTGTAGACCTCAGTGTGATTGACCATCCCCCTTCAAAAACTCTCTGTTCTAATGAGCTCTGAAAAGCTGTTTTGGCTTAGCTGCACACGTACCCTTCTGAGCAAACAGGCTTTTCTTCTGAACTCTAGCACTATGACCTTCAAACTCTCATTAAGGATCCTTCTTTCAAACTTGTCCCTTCTTTCTGATCTCCAACCTACAGCTTGAAGACATCAGACACAGACTGGTTATCTCTCCACCACTTCTCTTAACATCTCTACTGATCCCATATTGTCAGACATCCAGTTTTCATCCATCTCCAGTAGGAAGATTGAAATAATTTTGTTTACAACTATCACAAGTTCTTTCTCTTCACCACTGACTCCACGTTGTTTTTAATCAAAATGTCAGGCTGAACTCAATGTCTCACACTTCACAGTCCTGACTGATGCTGAGCTGAGCTTCCAACCCTGTAACCTCTCTATCACAATAAACAACTGCATGAACCTTCACAATATTGTCTGTCTGCTCCGATCTCAGCCCATCTACTGCCTTGTTCACACAAAAAGTAACAAGAAATATCAGTAAAGGGGAACTAGTGGATGTATTATTTTCAGAAAACATTTGACACAGAGCAATATCAAAGGTTGCAGTGCAAAATAAGGGCCCATGGTGCAGATGGTAACATTAACATGAATAGAAGCATAAGGTGTACATAACTGGGCTATTTTCAGGTTGGCAGGATGTCAGGAAAGGTGTACCACAGGGATCAGTTTTGGGGCCTTAGTTATTTCCCATCTACCTAAATGACTTGGATGAAAGGACTAAATGTTTGGTTGTTAATTTTACTTGTGATACAAAGATAAGGAGGAAAGTAAGTTGTGAAAAGAGTTTGAGGAGTCTGCAAAGAATATAGGTAGGTAAAGTGAGTGATAAAATTTGGCAGACCAAGTACAATGTGGGCAAATGGGAACTTGGCCACCTTTGATGGGAAGAATAGAAAAATTGCATTTTATTGAAATTGAGAGAGATTGCAGAAGCCTAAGCTATGGAAGGATTTGGGTGTCCTGGTACATGAATCACACAAAGTTAGAATGCAGGTACAACAAGTGATTAGAAAGATAAATAGAATATTATTGTTTGTTACAATGGAAATAGAATGTAAAAGTTGCAAAGTTTTGCTACAGTTGTACAAAACATTGGTGGGACCACATGTGGAGTACTTTATACAGTATTGGTCTCCTTATTTAAGAAAGGTTGCAAATGCATTAGAAGTTGTCCAGAAAAGGTTCACTCACCTGTTAATAAGATGGGGAGTGGTTGATTATCTTATCAGGATAGTCATTGTGTCCATCAGAGTTTGAGTGAATGAGTGGTAATCTTATTGAAGATTAACATCCTGAGAGGAACTGACAGAACAGATGCTGAAAGGATGTTTCTCCTTGTGGAGAGGCTAGAACTAGGGGACACAGTTCACCATTTGAGATGGAGATGTAAAGATTTTTTTTCTCTGAGGATCTCAAGTCTTTGGAACTCTTTCCTGGACAATGAAGGCAAGATCTTTGAAACCTTTCAAGGTAATGACAGATAGATTCTTGATGAACAAGGGAGTCAAAGGTTATCAGTGATAGGTGGGAATGTGGATTTGAGGCCATGAACAGATCAGCCATGATCTTATTAAAGCAGAACAGGCTATAGGGGGTGAATGCATAGTGCTGCTGCATAATGCCTGTTTTGTCTTCGGCCTTGAGCACTCCAGTATTCTCCTGGCTAAGCTCCTGATCTTTAACCTTTGTATAGCTCAGCTCACCCAAATTTCTGCTTATATATACCTTATTGTGTGTCAATTCCTTCTTATCCCTCAAATCTATTTTCACTGATTTGGATCAGCTCTAATCCCCCAACGCCTTATGCTTTAGATTTGTATCCTTATGATTAATGTCCTTTCTGATCTCACATCTTCCCTATTTGTATAGGTCCCCACCAGCCCTATAAATGAACAAAACTTTCTATTCACCTGACACTAGTTTCTTTTGTGTACCTCCAAACTAATACTGACAATCATGCTCCCAGTAGAATTTTGCCCTAAATGTCTCTATCTTTCTCGCTCTTCTCAGATGCTTTTTGGAACTCACCTCTCTGATAACATCTTTGGTTGTCCTTGTAAACTCTATTTTGACTTTTCTCTTGTGCTTCTCTAAAATATGTTGGCATATTTTTCTACGTTAAAGGTTCTCAGAAAAGTAGGTTGTTTTTGTTCTGTATGCAATGAACAGCCAGATGAAGGCAAATATTGGAAGAATTGGAACTCCAACCATATGTTTTAAGTATATGTGTTTGTGAACTTTTTATCCATTATCAATTACAGCAAATGTATGAGGGTTAGATCAACAAGAACATACCAGCTTCCTTAATGTGTTTATAGACATCATCTGATCCAGCAGAGGAGTATGGAATATCATCGTGTGCCACAAAATCAATCTAAGAGAAAGTGTCATTATAAATAATTTACAACATGAAGAATTTTCAACCAATCAGTTACTCAAGTGAGATTCAAATGTGACACAGCTAGATTTTATTTTATTTTCTGTTGTCTTAGCCTTATCAGAGAAGTGAATACAAAGGATGTCAAAATGAAGCATCCTGTGCCACAGAGGTTCTTTGCGTACAGTTCTCATCCTCATGAGCTTGGCAGTAATCTGATAGAGTGATTGCCTTTCATTACGAGAATTCTCCTGATTTTCAACTTCTCAAAACCAGCTGGGTGAAAATTGGATGTGTATGACCACCAACAGGCAATCCACTCAGCTAGACTACTGCCCAAGGTGAAAATTACCTGCATTTGTAACTGAAGATTTTATTTTTACAATGCTAAGACAATGAAGGTTTCAAAAGAATTGACTTGGGACTGGTATCAGCTGTTATTACAGAAAGAGAGAAATAATATTGGAAATCAAATCATCCTGGACTACTGGCTACATTAATGGTGCTGCAAGTCTAGAATAAAACTAAATTGAATTGTGCACAAGGTCAGTATCTGTCAGGTTATCACTGAGAAGACAGAGATTGATAGAGTTTTGAAAGAATGGGAATATGTGATTATAGAACAAAGATATGCAAATAAAGTTGGGGTACAGATCAGCCATGCCAAAATAGACTGGAAGAGTTGAATGACCTATTGATGTTTCTATGTAGAATTTCAGTAGAATAGCTCATTAGAACAAGTTCAATGTAGATTCTGTCATATTCTTAATGATACAACTCCTAAGAAACATAACAATTTGCTTTTACATAATGTTTTAAACTTAATGTGTGCCAAATTGTTTCATCAAGGAAAATTACGTTTCAAACAGCAAAGAAAGAATTAGAAGATGAAAAGAATGTTCAAAGGAGAGTTGTAAAGAGTTTTACGTAGTGAGTTTTAGAGTGATGTAGAGATGACTGAAGGCTTTGCCACCAATAGCAGAATGTGGAGTAGAGATGATGAGGAGGCAAGGTTCAGAGGATCAAAGGCAGTTCTGGCTTGAAGGGCTGATCAACCCGCACCTCCTATTTCTTATGTTCTTGTGTAAATAAACAGGAGTTGGATGGATGAATGAATGCAGCAGACCAAAAAGAGAAAAGATTCATGTCATAAAGCACAGTGAGCATGGAGTTAATGCACAGACAAGTGCATGGAAGAAGAGAGAAGATAGGCTGAAATGACAAGAAAGATGCAAGAAACCAATGAAATAGTCTAGAAAAAAAGGAAGGGTAGGGCAAAAAAGAAATGAAATTGTGGAGGAAGAAATGTCTTTTAGGAATTCCAAAGCCTATTTCAATGTTGGAATGTGATTAATTCAAATGAAATAGATAATTAATAAATGTTCTAAAAGTGGCATTTTCCCAAAGCAATTATTTAACAAAATCAGACCTTTGCAGGCTCACATGAATCCTGGAGTCAATGAAATAAATTAACAGTAAAGGAGCGGAGTGGCCGAACCTGCAATAATTTAGAGACATAATTCTGTAAACATGATTGGAGCTTCCTACTTCAGGTGACAAATTACTTCCTATTCAGAGCACAGCACAAGGAATTTCCACTCAAATGACAAGGAGGAATGTTATTAGTTTTAAATTATACCTGTTGGGAGAGTGACTAAAATTAAAAATATTTGTCAATACAGCGGAATCAAGTATTTATTTGGAGAAACAGGCGACAAGCAAACTTTAGAACTTTGCCCAGGATAAAAGAGATGAGTGGATCCACAAGAGTCGCACTACAGTGTCACCTAGTGGTGGAAAGACCTCAGCTTCCAGTTTTAAAAATAGCCAGAAATTTGTGAGATGCTGACGAGTTATTTCTTCTACTCGAAGATATCAATATATTCAGCTACCATCTTTACATTGTTACTCAAAAATCATGACACATGAAACCAGCTTAATGTGGACAAGAATGCACGCAATATGCAAGAATTGTAATCATATACCATGGTTACTTATGGTGTTGTTCACCGTGAGTCCAAGTACAAACTTTTGATTATTTGTGACTGTGGATGGTCAGTTTTACCGCTCGTAATGATTACCAAAACTGTTAATAAAAAAGTGAAGTGGCAATGGACTGCAAATATAGGGAATTTGGTAAAAGTTGAAAACATAGCACAGTGAGGGAAGTGCTGTTTTCTGCTTTCATTACTTGTAGTGGTTCATATAAATTTGCAGCAGTAAGTTTCATTTTTATTTGTCCTGTCTGTTATTGCTTGCGTAAATTAGTATGTGAAGAAAGCAAAAAGAGATAATAATGAACTAATAAATACTGTTATCTCAACAATCTAGGCAATCGCATGGCAGAGTAGTTCGGATGTCTAGACTACCGTACATGGAGCTTTACAGGTCGAGATTATCCAAAATGAAACACAACTGCAGTAGATGTCTACAGCAAAACATTCCAAATCCTAACCATTGAATTTGGGTGCAATTTAGGGACGACATCCATTCTATGATTCTATTTCATATTAAATAGACATAGAGATAACATATTCTACTCTTCTTCATATCCTTCCACTAACTTGATTTATGTTCTCCTATTGCATGTTAGTATCCAGCCTGAACTGCAGATCAGATCTATATTAAAGTTTAGCAGTTGTTCAGTTGCGATGTGAATCCAGTGACAGAAGCAGGGAGATAGTGGCCCGAAACGACAGAGGTATAATTGAAGAGTAGGTGAATGGCAGTCTGCCTTGGGTTTCTGTACATTTAATAGGCGTTAGGCTGCAGTGGTGGTGGTTTGCTGATGTTGTGCCACAACTCAGGATTCAGTCTCTAACCACAACAGTGGGAAGATCTTGACCCTTGAGGACTAGCCCTCTATTGAAGAAAGCAAGAGTGGGCACTGTAGTTGGAAGTTTCAAGAACCACTTGGTTGTTGGCTCCAATGGCACCAAGAGCGGGAGCATCCCACCAAATCCCACTACTAACTGACTAAACCAGCAGATGACAGGAGAGGAATAGTGGGAACAGGCTTTAAATTTCAACATTTAAAATTCCTTAAATTTGGGGAACCAACTGAAAGTTAGGCTCAAGAAAACGAAATAGTGGTGAATCTGAGCATCACGCCCCAGAGTTCCACCAGTGGTGGGAAACCTGTAACCAAAATACAACAAACACATTGGGCTTTTCAATTATATTGAAGATTTAATCTTCATTTGAAGTGCTTTTTCCCATTAAATGCTAATACAGGGAACATTCAGCATAAATATTCTCATACAAATTCATTGTAAAATTGTGAATGCAGATAGCGTACAGGAATTATGAACAAATTCACTTTGGATCCTGTACTGCATTTCAATGATCTGTCAGTAGAGGGTGCTTTCACCTATTACTGAGAGTCTAACTGAGCTTTGAAATTCTGTGTCACTTGAGCAAGAATGTCCCCTCTCTGTATAATCTATATACAACTAATTTTCTCAAATTATAAAATTAGTAAGCAGCTATAACAGTTAATAAATGCAAATGTTTTCTCAAAATGCATAGCCACTTGGTAGGAGGGGAAAGGATAGTTGAAAAAACATACCTTATGTTTTTCAAGAAATTCTGGAGATAGTGTCCACGGTGCATCCCTGATAACCTCATCAACATAGCGGCAATGTCTCAGGGCATCATACCGCTCAATCTCATTCATGACAGTAAAACCTTTGTATTGGTGTGTTAGGTCATCACTGCACACTGAGACCAAATACACAAACAATCCTTATTAGAAATCCATTACACAAGCATTTCTTATAGACATCAATACTGGCCCTGTCACAAAACCTTTGTGAATAGCTGTCACCATGTCACCTTTTTGTCTGTACTTTCAACTTTAAGAAAAATGATCTTATAAAAATATTTGAATTTGTGCAATATTTTACAATATAATACAGAGCACTCCAATTTAACAATAAGAGCGATGTGCTACTACACAATTTGTAATTACTTTATATCCATTATTTTCATAGATCATAGAATCCCTACAGTGTGGAAACAGGCCCTTCAGCCCAATAAGTCCACACCGCCCCTCAGACCATCCCACCCAGACACATCCCTCATAACCCATCTAATCTACACATCCCTGAACATTATGGGCAATTTAGCATGGCCAATCCACCTAGCCTGCACATCTTTGGACTGTGGGAGGAAACAGGAGCACCCGGAAGAAACCCACACAGACACGGGGAGAATGTGCAAACTCCACACAGACAGTCACCCTTTTCAGATGTAGTATTATAGGAGAATAGCAAGCAAGTCAAGCAAAAGTCTGTCATTTGCATATGGGAAGGGAATGCAGAAAATCAAGTCACTGGCAATGTCTAGCAGTTGTTTAGAAAGCAGCAGTAGAGAATAGGTGAAAGTAGTGTATAAATGGAACACAATGTGGTCAGTGGCATCAAGGAAGAGGGTAACTAATACAGCAAATATTTACACTATTCATTGAGCAACTCTGGTTTTAAAGATACTCTAAGTCATACGGTTTGTCAGTACATATCTTAAAGATAAGTTAAATCACAAATAATCTGCATCTCTCCTTCTCTATGACTCTTCCTTTGCTTTCATGTCGAATATGTTGGGTACAAGATTGATTGTGTGTGCCGTTATTTAACCATCACTTGCAATGAAAATTTATAACTTTCTCTTGTGATCAAACTATTAATATACCTGACAGTACTTTATCTTGTCATTAACACTAATGTATTCTTCAATACTTGCATCAAAGAAAAAAATTGCTTGTTGCAAGAACATTTTGATTACTGAGCAAAGGAGCTGTAGGAGGATATGAGCAGAACTGTCAACACTGAAGAAATAATAGAGGTGACATTTGAGAAAAGCAAGAATGATACAGATTGCAAATCCATTTAAAGATTTGAAGCAGTGCTTATATTTTAGAGTGATATCATCAAAAGTGGTTATATTTTTAAACCAAAAATTGAGTGACACTTGGCAAGCATGAGTGTGTGATGGAAAAATCTAGAAAATAACATAAAAATGTATGGGAGTCAATAGGTAAAGCAGCCACTTTTATTTAGCACTTTTGTACTGATGTGCTATTCACATTGGGAACATCGTCAGGACACAACTAATGGTACACAAGATCAGAGACCAAGTCAACATTAGCTCTCAACTGAACCAGGCAGCAGTTCTCATCCAGGAGGACTATCTTCCATTGAAAGTATGGGGAACAATCTGTAAGAGCAGACTGCATTTCTCTTCTAACAGATGCACCCCAGCAATGGCAGAACTAATGGTCTATGGGGAAATGGGGTCAAATATACAACAAAGCAATATCCGTCACATTTTTTGATGTGTGTAATCATCATAATTTCTCAATTAGTCTTTGAGTCATCCATAAAAGTTTGCTTCTTAAGTTGGCCTTGCACATTTTGTTACAAATGGGTTGTCCCTCCATTCTTACCTCCAACAAGTAGATAGGTATTTGGAAAAAGATTTTTGGCCTGCATGAGAGCCCGAGCATGACCTGAGTGAAAGAGATCAAATATTCCATCTGCATAAACTCTCACTGGTCTGTCAACTGTAAAAGGATAAACCAACACAGGATTACACATGAGCATGGAAATGGGAGCTATTAAAGGTATTGCACTAATGAACATCAAACACAGCAAAGGTATACATGTCAGATAAAATCACAAGTTTGGGTATTTTTTTTTCTCGACTATTATCATCTAAGATATTGGTTGCAGTAATTAGCTCTGTAATATTGCTGATATTGGCATCACTGAAACCTCCTGTGAGTTATCTCAGACTGTGAACTCATTGGGAGGACAGAGAACAGTCAGGGCAAGAGACATATCTTACTCTTTCAAGGATACACAATATACAGGTACAAGAGTTACAAGCCCGTTTTCAGCCCTTGTCTGGGTGCCCTTATGGGCAAAGCTATGTGCTGTGAGAGTCACAGCTGAGGAAATCCTTTAGTCATTCCTGTGCTTCAAGTAAAAAGAAAGGAAGTCTCTCTGCTTTTACTAAAAGCCAGAAAACAAGGAAAACTACAGTTACAAGGAAAGAGGTCAAACCACTTTCAGTTGACCTGCAAGGCCAAGCCTCTCAAAATCATCTACCAACATCACTCAACATAATGAAAACAATGTCCCATCATCTACTCTTCACAGAACCAGAGACTGATCTTTATGCATTGTTAAATATTTTTGGGCTCACCTCTCAAATCTAATATGTGTGTATGTGTATTCTGTTATTATTTTTTCTTGCTTTCTAACAAATAAATTCACTCTATTGTTCACTTATGTAAGTGTGGTTAAATTAGTTCCTTTAAAAACATAAACTAATTTGGTTTGGGAGGAAAATACCACAATGGAAGAATCCTTTTCTTAAATTAACCTTGAAGTGACCAACCGGGGAGGCGAGTATATAAAGTAAGGGAGCCAGTTTGACATCTCTCCCTGGGAACTTGACAAATTTAGCAATTCCATTTGGATCTGTAATGAATTGGAGAACCTTGCCAAGAACAAAGATGTTGTAACATCCAGAGAGTTGCAGGAGAAATGGACACAAGACTTTGTCAGGGTGGAGAGATTCCCAATGGCACAAAGAGACATCTTCATGATATCATCACCAGATAATAGAATGTTATAAAACTCTTAGTTCCATTTAAAATGGGCCACAAGAAGCTTGATATGATGGAAATGTACTGCTCTTTGTAACTGAATAGCTAATTAATAGCCCTGACACTGAAGTTCCTATGAATGTAATATGTGGACACATCAGGAGTTGAAATAAATGTCTGTTGAATCTCTCAGTACCTCATTATTCACATCTGGTTCTTGTGCTAGGGAAGTTAGCGTAAGTATTGCTGCATCAGGTATGAATATCTTGCTGGAGGCATAGCACACACATGGTGGTAGTTCACCCATTACATTCCAACCACTGTGACAAATCAGAGACTGGTTGCTAGGTGACAAAGGGCTTCTCACTCAACATGTGGCTCACAATTCCCCTCTGTGCCACTTTCATTGTCATAGAGGAAATGCCTGACATTCAAAAACAATTATACTGCCCAAATTGCTCAGTGGGAGGCCTACACTCCTCCTGGACTGTGTCTCAAAATAGGAGGAAGAGATTACGAGAGAGTTGCAGTGGCCTCCCACTCTCTCCCTATTTATTTCAAAACCCCCTTCCCCTCCCCCTTTTCTGATGAAGGGTCTAGGCCCGAAACGTCAGCCTCTCTGCTCCTATGATGCTGCTTGGCCTGCTGTGTTCATCCAGCCCTGCACCTTGTTGTCAATGATAACATTTACTTGGTTTTTCAAAAACTGATCTTGCCACAGTCCAGAAATTCTAACTCCAGCCACAAGTGGATCACCTACACACCATAGAATCTCCCCAGTTATCATCCTGTTGAGAAGTAGACATGACCTACAAAAGCAAGACAGTTGATGAAGAGGGAGAGCTGAATGTCACCAGTATACATTTGGATACTGACACATGTTTTTGAGTAATGTCAAAGGGCAGCATATAGGCTAGGGAGAAATCTGACTCTTGGGTTTGCCATGGTTAACAGTGTGGGACAGGACGAGATGCTGGCGATGCTATAGTTCTAATTAGGTAGATAAGTGAAAACTGCAAGCAACTCCAATGAACTAGACTTCAAAGAGAGGCTTTTGAGGATCATGGGTATGGTCAGCACTGTCAAAGATTGCCAAGAGGTCAAGGAGGAGATCAGAAAATGGACCATAGGCACAGTTAAAAAAAAATGTAATTCATGTAAGAGCAATGTACTGCAGATGCCGGAGATCTAGAAAAGTAAAAGACAGAAAGTGCTGGAGAACTTTAACACGTCTGGTAGCATCTATGGAGAAAGAAACAAAGTTAACATTTTGAGTTCAATCCAACTATTCTTTGGAATGCCGAAAATTGATCTCAAAACATCAGCTCAGTTTCTGTCTCCACAGATCCTACCAGATCTACTGAGTTTCTCCAGGACTTTCTGTTTTTATTCAGATTTAACTTTGATTAGATCTCCTTCTATATCTTGGGATTGAGCAAATCCAGATTGGAAGTTTAATCACAGGGACAGATTTTATCAAATGGATAGCTGACCAACAGACTGCCTGTTGCCAGATTGTTAATGATGTCCTGGCCTCCTGTTGGAAATTTTCATGCCCATGTGTCTTTGAGGAGAAAATGAGTGTCCATAACCTTAGAGACAAAGGAGCGCTTGAAGTCCACACACTGTTGTTGGTGGTGAGTGTAAAGAAATGGTGGGAAGGAGGATTTGAGGAAATTGTTGATAGGGGAAATAAGAAGCCTGTGGTATCTTTGTTCTTCAGAATGGATAAGTTGGTAAGATAATGGTCAATGCAATGAGATTGTTGTTTGTAAGGAGGCCACAATGCGTCCTTTGGAAAATGCCAGAAGAGAAACAAAGGCTGATTGTTAACTTCACTGACAAATGGCTTTGGCTGCAATCTGGTAAAGTCAATAAAATATTTTTCAGATCTTAATTCCCAGACCCAATTTGAACTGGCATAATGCCTTGAAAATATTGCAAAGCGTAATAAGAAAAAATGTATATGTTAGGAAATCAAAGACTAACTTGGTGTTCCAAAACGGGCCTGAGCAATAGTCAATCTTTCGTGGGGAGCCTTGCACTGACAGCTTGTTTCATCTGCAAATGCAGCAGGTTCAGTGAATGTCTGAAGAGAAAAACAAGGGAAAGAAAATAAGAATTAGGGCATACTCTTCAGTGCTTTTGTATGGTTTATAGCATTAATTGTTTCTGACAGCTGGAGAAAAGCTGTACAATACTTTACTGATTGATTGTTCAATTAGTTTCAGGCTCTTCAGCACTTTACATAACACCTTTGTATCAAATCACTTAATATCCACAAACATCATCTACTTTTTAAATCCAATGCTATAGAAAGAGGAACTTGAAACTCTATTTAACTCAGAATATAGTACAATAATACCAAGATGAAATGATGACAAAGTATCACAGGTAAATTGAGACTCATTTTATTAGTATAGCAATGTGTATTTTAGCCAGTCTTGTTGCAGCAACCTTTCAAATGCAGCAATTTACACTGAGTTGCAATTAACTTCCTCCTTGTCACAAGATAAAAGTCAAGGTAAAGACATAAATAGAGTTCAAATAAGAATATAGGAACATTTGAAAAAAAGTGTAGGCTGTTCGGTTACTTGAGTGTGCTCCAGCAAGATCATGGCATGACTGATTTTCCTGATTTCCTCCATAAACTTTGATACTGTAACCTAACAATGCTCGAGCTATCCCAATCTTGATGGCTCCAATTGTCCCTGAATCCACATGCCTTTGGAAGAGAAAGTTTCCACTTTTTACATGTATGTTTCTTGCACAGTGCTTCCTAATTTCTAACTCCTGAATAGGCACCTCTAATTTTAGAATTATGTCCTCTTCTTATTGATTCTGTTACCAGAGGAAATAGTTTTGCCAGATCTACACTTTCAAACTCTTTTACCACTTTAAACACATCAAATCAGATCAACTCACAATTACCTAAAATCAATGGAACATAAAATTAATATAAGCAAGCGTCTCATTTTATCTCTACAAGCACTGGTTTCCAGTGGAGCTGTGTTGCATCCCATTCACGGTTCATCTTTCCTGATGAGCCACACCATTGAAAACTCCTTTGAACATCAGTGGGATCAGGTGATAGGGCACCCAACTGCTAAAACAGCAATGAATAAATCATCCTTCCCCATGTTTAAAACAAATCCCCTATTTTCATTTTCTTTGGATTTGTGACTGTTTAAGTTATTTGGCATTTCATAAAGTCACTGTTAAATAAAAATAAATATAAAATGTTCATTTCTGTCCAACACATTCATGACTGTCCAGTGATTAAACTGATTTGCTGTTGGAAAAAGCTACAAAAAGAATTATTTCACTTGACACTGTGATTGAAATTTGGCCAATCTGTACCATAAAATGCTGAACCAACCACCAAACTACCAGAGAGTGAATCATAAGCTTGCAAACTTCATGTGCACTCAAATTATGTAAAGCAGCAGTTTATAAATGGACTTCAAATTCCGTAAAAAATATTACATTTACAATGTTATATTTATCACAAATATGGTTACTGATCATTAGCTGCTTTTTCTATACTGAAAATGTTATACAAATATAAGTTGTTACCAGAGTATCTGTGACTCTGTAACTGTGTAACTGTGACTCACATGACTCCATTAGAAATATTACTTTTTTAAAAATATTTATTACCGAATGTGTGGTCTCCTGTGATTCGGAATTATGAGGATGTTTTCCCCCGAAAGATGTTAAGATGGCATTCATTCTACAAATAAAATTCTGAACTCAACACATGCTCCATTTTATGCTTAGTTTATACTGAGGCCTTTCTGCTGTAATCTGAGAGCTGAAGTTGATGGCATCATATTTAGTAGGATGAAGAGATTCACAAAACTACTGTATACTTTTAATGAACAATCTAATTTAAATTGACTTAACTTTTAATACTGATTGGTTAATTAGGAAAAGAAAACTGGCCCTTTTCATTTTTACTGTAGTTCTCCATCATCCACTTCTTCAAATGTTTATTTAATCTTTCCTTAAAAGATGTAAATTTTTTCACCCACCATACAATGTGACAGGATTTTTCATGCTATAACAACTCTGGTTATGAAATAAAAATGTTCCTAAACTCATGCTAACTCACAATTTTAAATTAATAACCTTTCTCATCTCTGACTCCTAAACCAGACAAAAAAAAGGTTTCCCTTTCGCATCTCTTGATAATTGTACGATTTTCAATTGAATTTCCTTTCAGTGTCATTGACCCAAGAAAATACTCAGTTCTCTAAATATAATTATATTGTCATCCTTTCTTTGACTCTAATGTCCTTTCAATATGAGTGATCAAAAACAGAATTTCAATTTTGGCTTAACCACTCCTTGCAAAACATCTTTTACCATTGCACTCCATGCCCTTTCTCATAAAACTCCAAATGCTACAGTTATGTTTTATGGTTTCACTTTTAGCTGCCCTTTCAGATAATTACAATTTTGTTTCACTAAAATATATAAGAAATTTGTTATTGATTTTGCCTTTACTCCACTGAGTTCATATGTCTTCGTGCTAAAAAGGAAAATCTGCTCCAAAATAAGGCAGTTCACTTTTATAACACAGCAACAGGGTTTGTCGATAGAAAGTACATTTCCAAACAAGACATTTAATAACATACAGATTTGTAGATATATAGTACAGATTTTCTTTTACTAGAAAACTTGTATGTTTATGATCAATGTTATGATCTGCTATACCTATAATGTTCAATATAAGTGTACTACAATTTTCAAAAGGAACTCAGGGAGACATCTGCAAAATGCAAACTTGCATGCAACTGCAAACCAAGCTTGTCTACAATTGTCACTTTTTTCTGACATTATCTATAACAAACACAGGAATTCATGCAACAGACTCCTGATTTTCAAAGCTTTTCTTCAGCTTGTATTTCAATAGCTCAAGTTAAGCAAATTTAATTAATGAATTTAAGAAAACACACCAGGATTTCTACAGTATGCCAAAAACATCAAAATAATTGCTGAAATGCACATGGTTGAAACATGGTTGCACATGGTAAGCGCATAAAAGATGCACATTGCCAAGTCCAATCATTTCATCCATTACTTTGAGACGGTATTTTGCTTCTATTGATAGCACAAAGCAAATTCTTTTGAGATTGTTTGTGTTAGTTGTAGCTCAATTGATGCATCTCACCCCTGAATCACAAGATTCCAAGTTCAAGACATACTTCCAAACTTGAGAACTAAAATTATGGCTAACACTCAAGTGCACTACTGCACTCTCTGAGTTTCAGATGAAATGTTAAACCAAGGTTTCATCTTCCTGCTCTTGTCATTGTAAAATATCTACTGGCACCATTTCAAAGACTGGCAGAGGAGTTCCCTGGTATCCTGGCCAATGTAAATTCTTCAATCACCACAGATAGGAAAACATTGCTGGGTCATCATCATCACATTATTGTTCCTGGGAGTTTGCTGTCTACACTTGAGCAGCATGTTTCCAACAGCATACGCTTCCAAAATTTTTCAAAACTACACTTTGGGACATTAGCCCCACCTTTCTTCCACCAGCAGCATCTTCTTACACTACTCAGAAAAGAAAGGGGCAGCGGACATTGGCTGGAATTATTTATAGGTCACCTAACAGTAGTGGTATAAATTAGGAGATAAGAAAAGATAATTGCATGGACAACACAGTTGTCATGAGTGACTTCCTTTTGCATATAGACTGGGTGAGCCAACTGAGCACTAAAGCTGTGGAACACATGCTTCTGAAGTATCTTAGAGATGGCTTTCTAGAGCAGATTGTTGATTAGCCGACTAGAGGGACATGTAATCAAAAAGGGCTAATTAATAACCTTATTGTAAAAGAACCCTTAAGGCTAAGTAACTGCAATATGATAGAATTTTGTATTTTATTTGAAAGTGAGATTGTTCTGAAGGAAGGATTTTAAATTTGAATAATGGAAGACTTTTATAGAATTATGAAATTATAGAAATTGTCTGAGCTAGATTGGGAAAATACATTAAAAGTCACGACAGTGCATAGAAAATGGGGAGTCTGTATGTGACTTACACCAACCATACATGTGTTCAAGGTGCAAAAACTCAAAAATGGTCAATCAACTACAGCCAACAAAGCAAGTTAAGGATTGTATAAGCTTACTATCAAAGGTTTATAAAGTGGCCAGAAATAATAATAAATTGGAGGATTGGGAAGTTTGAGAATACAGCAAATGAAGAGCAAGAAATGGAAAAGGAAAGAAAAATATAATATAAACACATATTTATAAAAATGGACTGTAAAAACCTCTACAGACATGTTAAAAGAAAACTTTTGGCAAAGATGGATGTGGGTCCATAAAGCAGGGTCAAGAGAATTTATAATTGAGGTTAGAGACGCAGTGGAGAAGTTATTTGATTCCTTTGTCTGTTTTCAATGAGGGAGATTCAAGAAATCTCCCAGAATTAGAGATCCAAGTGGCTAGAGACATTGAAGAGTTGAAGGATATTATGATTAGGAAGGAAATTGTACTGGAGAAATTAATGAGGCTGAAAGTTGATACTTCCCAGGACTAGATAGTCTACATCCCAGAGTGCTGAAGGGAATGGTTCTCGAGCTCGTTAATGCATTGGTCATTATATTTCAAAATTACATAGATTCTGGAATGCTTTCTGCAGATTGGAAGCTTGCCAATGTCACTCTGCTATTTAAGAAAGGAGCAATAAAGAAACCAGGGAACTACAGACATATCAACCTTACATCAGTAGTAGGGAAAATACTTGAATTTATCATAAAGTACATAAGTGGACACTTGGATAAAAATGATTTGGCTGGGTACAGTTAGCATGGATTTTTGAATGGAAAATCATGTTTGATTAATTTGTTGGAGATTTTTGAGGACATTACCAGCAAAATTGATAAAGGGGTGTGAGGATGTAATATTTTTGGCTTTTCACAAGCCTTTTAATAAGGTCTCCCATTGGAGGCTGATCAGCCAAATTAAAGCACATGGGATAGGAGGAAATACTGGCATGGATTAAGGATTGGCTAGCAGACAGAAAATAGACAGTAGGAATAAATGGGCCATTTTTGTTTTGGCAGAC